TGCTAGTAGTGATATCAGTGACCCGTTGCTTGCTTTTTGAGTAAATGGTGTAGCTGCTGTGTGTAGGTGGCCAGCAGATACGTCAGCAAATACGGTATTCTGACGGTGTCAGGGTATAAATCTCCTGTTACCATGACCATTGTCTCTTGTGCTTATTCTCATTTCCTTTGTGCTTTCCTGCTAGTCTGTTAACTCTTTGGGAAATACATTCCACTTCTGCTTGTCATCTGAACAGCCTCTAACACAGAGTAATTCCGACCCAGGCTAATCATAACATCTTAAAAGACTGAGAACTATCATGGCTAAGTCTGCAAAACAGGAAATTGTGAACAAAGAATATTGGGTTTAACTTGCAGTAAAGGAATTTAAGTTAGACAGGTCGGCAAGTTTTCTGAGTGTAAAACAGTGAAATATTAGATAGCTTGCCTTGGAAGGCTGTGGATCCATCATCGCTGAAAAGCTTGGAAAATAGATAGCCAAGCCCATTTTAGGACTAGCTGGCAAACTGATTCTGCCCAGGGACAGAGCAACGAACGAGATGACCTCTGAACAGCTTTTTTCAGCCCTGTTTTTATGTTCCTATGATCTTTCAAAGCTTACTCTGGACTTTAATCACATTCATTCCACTCAAACTGGCAAGAACTTTGTGTCCAAGTTCCATATTCACCTTTTAAAACCCTCATCCAATTGTTTACCATGCAAATCTTATCAGCAATCCATTGACACATAAGAAGCCTAAAATGCCATGCGAACATGTGTTTCAGCATTATTTTTCAGAATAGCTCCTAACTTCTCTGGGCAGGAGTATTTTCATGGTGCAGCTCTGAAGGTAAGAGGAATTCTCTGACGTAAACCAGGCGTGTGATTACAGAGGCCATTAGTAGCTGGCCTAAAACTTATCTAAATACTCTATTGCACACTCAGCATCATAACGTCTGCAGGCCTGATCCCAGCACTACTGCATAGTTACTAGAGTTGTTTTCCTTCTTTTGCATAGACTTTGTGAGAAACGTGCTGAAAATTACTTGAGGCACAGGACAAGCAGTACAGAAGCCAGTTTGATAGGTACTTTCACAAAAGAGGTAACATAGCTTTACTTGAGGACTACAAGTGTTATCACTGCTACTTTCAGGTCAAGGCACTAGTAGTGTTCTCAGAGGTGTACCGGTTCAGGAGAAGACATTTCAAGAGATAATTTTAAAAACAAATGTGTGACGAAAGCTATTTATCTGGTAACTAAAAGTTTAAAATTTTGCGTGAGGTAAGGGATGTTTAAAAACATCAGGAAAGAATAGAAATCAACAAATATTTTAAAGCTGTAAACATCACAGAAGGAAGTATTCTGAAAACATAGGAGGGTACACCCTTTTCTTTTTTTCCAGTAATGGAAAAGTCTGGGGAAAACACTAGGAAAAAGAGTCTAGCTGAAAAATAGAACTGGAAAACAGTTTTCTCCAACTTTCAGGCTAGAAAAGAGAGTTAACCAGCTAAGTACAAGTATTTACAATGTACCTTAGCAGAAGCTGGACAGCTCTTCAGAGACGCAGACACTACTGAACATACCTCGCAGAGCTTACCTTTCTGTAATGACAGAAACACCAAAGGCCAAGGAGTCATCTGACCTTTTCTTCCACCCCCATGAACTTGGCAAAGAGGATTTTTGTCTTTGTCAGGAAGTTACCCAGAGGGCTGCAAACTATGCTAAACATTACGCAGGTAGTCATCTCCTCTTGGCTGAGTAGTACATTTGCCACACAGTCTCACCCATGGAGTTGGGCAAGAAATACATGCTGTTGCTGAGCAGCTGGATGCCGACATTTCATTGCAAACAGTGGATAGAACTGAGAGTAAGGAAAAAGGCAAGTTGCACTGAAAGGCTTGGGATATTCAGGCAGTCAGATGTCAGTGACTGAAACAGCCTACTCCGTTTACTTGAGAGACAAAGTGCCCAGCCTGTGCCAGCACAGTCTGTAAAACGTACAGATTGTTTGGGTGGTTGCCCTTATCCAGGCACACCTATGCAGGGGGAGGGGATTGATATATTCATATATAAATACACATTGTTATGTACAAAAGGTATAGCTTATATAGAGGAAGGTGTTGTCAAAGGCCAAACTGGACACCTCAGGGAGATTTTTCAAGAGAAGTGACTTAGGAATTCTGCTTAATATTGTCACCTGAAAATGTTTGTCTTCAATATTTGCCCATGTGTCCTGTACACGAAGAACACTTTACCCTTAAATAACATGTATTTTAGTCCCAGCATGCAGAGAACAGGAATCCTACTAGAATAAGAGTATTTTCTGTGTTACACTGTTGAAACAACAAACGCAGTTTTGTTTGAAACAAAGCTTGGTTCGAGAGGTAGGAGTCCTCTTTAGGGGTGAATAAATAGCTCTACCTGATGCACCAGGTTATCAGAACTGACAGACATTTCAGGATTGGCAGTCATGTTCTGGAAGTGGGTAGGGAAACCACTGCAACCAGGTCTATCAAAGATTAGCCCTCTTAGTCCACAGCGAAGCCCTAGGCAAAACACAACGTAGCCCAGCAAAGATGGACCCTGAACCACGCGTACCTAAACTGCACACCAAGCAAATGGGGAGGGTGGGAATTTCAGGCTGCCAAATGCCCCACATCATTGAACCGTGGTCTCACAGCAACATACAAATATTTCTTGCAAAGCTGAATAAAGTAACACAAAAAGCACAGGCTGATACAGTTGTTACATGACATTGTGATTCCACCTATCCTGAAGGAATACAAAGGCAAGGACCTGTTAAAAGTATTATTTTTTAAATTAAATATTACACCATTTTTAGAGCTATTACAAGATACATGACACATTTTGGGGTATTACAAGAGTTTGTGCTTGTGCATAGTAATTAACAGCTTAACTGCACTCCCAGCAACTGAAGAGGTCTCCAAAGAGTGCTGAGTGGCATTTGTTACTTGAAAGAATGTGAGAAGGAGGCAAAGCATGTCAATAAGACTGTTAGAAATGTAAGTGTCAGGAGTCTAGCTTATATTTCAGACCTTATGAGCAAAGAACTTCTTTCTGTGTCCATTTCTTATTCCACTTTTCTTAGTTTAGACTGTAAAGTCTTTGGGGGGGGGTGTCATTTTGCCCCCATGCCTGCACAGTGCCTCCCCCACCAGCTGTACAGCAGCACAAAGAACAAGGGTCACCTAGACGAACCTCCCCGAGTAGAGGACACATGTTCCTGTCAGGATATGAAAAAATATGGGTTTAATGTGGGAGGTTTTCTCTTCGTATCAGGAAGTCTGAAACCTTCCTGTACTTATAAATCTCTCAGAGAGACGAGAAGAGATCCGCAGCTGGATTTCTTGATCTCAGAATTGTTATTTTTGTATTATTATTAGCTTTATTCCTGGAAGAAAGAGTGTCTAGTAAAAAACAGCCATCTGCTAGTTAAACCAGAACTGATCATGTCAGTGCCATCATCTTTGTTGATGCTGCTGGATGGTGGTGACAAGTTTTTACCTTTATTTAACAGTTTTCCCACAAAACAGAGAACAGGAACATCAGTGCACTTTCACATTTTGGATTTTAGTTGCAAAGCACCTGTAAGAGCACTTCTTACTTTTTTCCAGAATTGTTGAAATAGTCTGCAGCAAACGGAGAGGTGGCATTTCTCCAAGCACTTAAAGTTAAGTCTGCTAGGCTGTGTGGTTAGCACATAGAAGGCACAACTTTATGCTGACCTAGTCTATTTCCAGTGATTTGTACAGAACATAGCTAAAGGCCCACAGCGTTAAAATGCAAACTTATTTGCCTGAGAATCTAACACTAAAAAGAATGCTGAGTTAGCACTCTTTATGACAAAACCTATTTGTTCATAGACAAGCGCAGAGCAGACAGCAACGCAGAAACCCTCTGCTTCACCATCAACCTAAGATGCTTCAAATTTTGCCTTCCTTTAAAATGCAGTAAGATCCATGAATCTTTGTACAGTTTCTGGGTTCTCTGCTCAAGCTGCTGCAGGAAAAACTAGGCAAGATCTTCCTCTGCCTGAAAATTTACAGTAGTTGGAAAAAGAAAGAAAAAAAAACTACCAAAAGAAGTGAGAAACATCCCAAGTACCTGAGATTATAACCCTAAGCTATTTCATTACTTTGCTTACTGATTTAAAAATAAGGATAGGATAACAGCAAGCATTCAGGTTGCACCAAAATTCCAGTAAATTCATTTAGCAGCTGTAAGAAAGAAGCAAGAAAGGAAGCAGAAGGGCTAACAAGTTAGAGACTAGCACTTGATTTGCAACTTATTGCACCTGTTAGCCTGTGAGCTGAGTGGCAGGCAGCACCAGGTGTACCTTGTAAAGCTGATTTTCCAGCAAACCACCCCTCTGCTAATTTGAGTCCTGAAGTTCATTCAGCCAGTCTTCCTCAGAGGGACAGCTAAACCAGCTTTAGTTTTCCTGTGCTATCTCTACAAGAGAGGAATAGAAGGTGTTTTTCTGTATGCTGTTTTGCTGTTGTAAGTATAAGTTCTTAGCCCACTTTTTTAATGTGGAACCACAAGTAACGTTTAAAAAGATTGTGTAGTTTAAAGGATTGATTTTATTTAAAGTTTGTTCATTAATGTGTGCTGGAAAGCTCCCAAGTCCTTAAAGAACGTACTTAGTTCTCACTGTGATGTTTTTTAATTTTACAGAGGTAAACTGTAGGAAACTGCTTCTACTTCTTGGTGTTTGCTTCCCTGAGTAAATCTTTTAAATCAGATATAGTAATAAAAGCGGTCTCTTCTTTTTCCTAAAAATTGTGTTTGGAGTCTTACTAATGGTTTTGGGGAAAAAAAAGAAAGATTCTTGTGACCAAAGTGATGTTCATTAAGATAAATGTTGCTACTTACGAAAATAGCGATAGGAAAAAATAAATTCAGAGATACTCATTCTGAGCTTTTGGTGTGCACAGAACTTCTTATTAAGACAGTTTAAGTAAAACATTGAGTACTTATATCTATTGGCATTCTGGATTCATAAATACTTACGTGTTTTTTTTTCTCTTTGTGTTACAAGATTATGCAAGTGAGTGACTTCTGCGCTAAATGCTAGCGAGGCATGTCGTTGTTGCTGTTTTTAGAAAAAGAAAAACTTGCTCTACCTAAAGGCAAAACAGGGTGCTAACTTCTGGGCCTGGGGGAGGTTTGTTCACTTTGCTTCCTGATGTGCAATCTCTTGGTGAAAAAGACACAGTTCAGTGAAGCCTATGTCCTTCTGGGGGCATGTTGGTCTTTGTAGTGTGCAGGGGGAAATCCCTTTTGGGTCATGGCCCAAGGTATTTAGCCCCTGCAGGCAACCACGTCAGTACGCCTCTCGCAAACACCATCTTGTGAACGCTGTTATTTATTTTTCCTCTCCTTTTAATCCTGACAGAAGGCTGGTCTATGATATTACTATTCTGGTAGTTATGCTGGGTATGAGTAAATCCTTATCTTACAGGCTCTGTGGACTGTTACTGCTGCTAATGTGGGATACGCAGTAAATATGCACTGTGCTTTCGACTGTTTCCCCATTCCCATATTTAATAGAGCTAATGAGTTGAAAGCGGTAGACTGGTGGAAGGTAGGTATGTAGCTGTAATATTGAACACAAAATACGGCTTCAAATCTGTTTTAGGGAACTTCAGCTAAATTTATCTGGCACATAACCTTCTTTTATATCTAAATCTAGGATAATGTTCTAAACGGTACAGTTAACTTATAAGGGTATTGCTTGTTTCCATTGCATCTGAATCTTTGCAATTGTAGGGGAAAAAAATTGCTGATGCTTATGATATAACTTTGTTCTAGTTCAACCACATTCATAGGAATAGACTGGTTGGTGGATGGTGTTTCTCAGTGCTAATGTTTCAGCAGATGCTCCCCTCTGGGTGAGGAGCTGTGAGTGAAGTCTGCAGTGGGAAAGTGTGAGATGAAAGCTCCTGACTACTGAGTTCAGGGAAGAAGGTTGTAGGATAGTGACAGGTGTCTTGCATGAGACCAGGGTTCTATCCTTGTAAAATCCATCTCCTGTGACTTTATCACACACACGTCTTATTGGAAACATCTCTTTTAAACATCTCCTTGAGAATAGATAATATACAAATAGAATTGAAGCGCCTTGTAGGGTGTATTTCTTGGGAAACTGGTAACAGATGCGGTGACAGCTGTAGCTGTGTTAATTGGTAAAAGGAAAGACTGTAGGCTCACTAGAACACTAAAACTCTTGTTTGCTAACCCTAACCCAGTACCCACAAAACGCTGCCCAGAATGACAGTCTTAATATTCTCTAAAAGCAAACTTCACCTAAACCTTAGCTTCTGAAACCTGTCACAGGATGATATTGGAAAAGCTGCAGACTCAAAGGTCTTAAACCGACTTGTATAGCTGGGAGGCCACAGAACAAGATCAGAAACTGATAGCGTCTAGAGCTATAGGAAGTACGTTGGGTAAATATCCGGCCAACTGTTGTTGTTGGACTTAGTCATGGAATTAGGTAAGAAAGTACACGGTACAAATGTGACTGAAAGTAATAACTTTATATACACACACTTTTTTTTTAATAAAAAATCTAATTTGGGGTAACTTGGGCTGGGTAATGCTGCTTAGCACTTCCTTTAATCTAAGTTAGTCAATTGGTGCAGGGGTTCTTCAGGTTTTTTTTTTTTTTTTAATTTTTAAATACAATAAAATGGAGGTCGGGGGCCAAGGCAGCAAGATTTCAGAAAGCATTTCTTCCCTTCTTCCCCATCCATTCCAGCTCCACACCACTTCCTGTCCTCCGGAGAACTAGAGGTCATGGCTGAACAGTTATAGTTCATGTGTATAGTATATTCGCATACAACTTTTGCGATAGTCAGTATGTGGACCAAGGATTTTCAAATAACCTGATACTAAAGTTCCAAAATGTCTACTGAAGGGACAAATTAGTACAAACAGCACACTTATGCTAATCTTTCTGAATCTTGTGTCTGTTCCTCTCAGGTACTTTGCAAGAGAAAGAAGTCGATAATGTCTTCAGAACATGGAGCTAACAAACGGCATCATAACCCAGTGGACAGTATTTGCAGAAAGATCAAATCTATCCAAATGATGGATCAAGTCTCTAATCCTGCTTTGCAGATACCAAAATTTCAGTCCCGGAACTTTGACAGTCCACAGTGTAATATCAAAAAGAATCTAGAAGAAATACTAAAGAAAAGAACTTTTAGAAGCAACAGTAATACTGCTCCACATTTCATAAGTCCCAGTAGCGACAGTGTTTTCTCTCCAGACTTGCAGGCACTCTCACCTTGTTTCAGGCCTATCTCTGACTGCTGTTCTGCAAATGCTACCTATTCAATCATTAAAAGTGAGGAGAAGACTGGCAAACCATGGATGCCAATGTACCAGACTGAGAACAACTCTCCATCCCTGTTCAGAACTAGAGAGGCTAATGCCCAGGGCCAGATATGGGTGTCATCAAGTGTTGAATCTAAAAATGTGTCTCATGAACAGAAATATCTTACGTCAAGTCCAAATTTACAATTCCTGACATCTGATAGAAAGTCAGAAAGTGCTGTAATCCACTCTCCTGTGCCAAAGAGACTATCTTTGGGTGAAAGAGGTAAAATACTGGAAATAAAAACTAGGCATCAGAATGTTCAGCCTACATGGCTGAATTGCTTTACTACTTAAAGCAATAGCAATATGTTTTGGAATCACTTCAGTCTAATAAAAACGGCAAAAGAGCTACATAAAGCCTTAATCTTTCCCTGAAAATTATTTATGTCAATTTAAAAAGTGAAGAAATAAGGACTTGAGTTGAAACATATTTTCAAATTTGACAATTCCTTTTGTGGGAGGAGGTTTTTTAATTAATTTACCTTACTGTTAATGTAGAACGGTATGTCAGTTTAGATTTTCTTTTTCTGGTGTTTGTATATTTGTTTTTTAGGATTGTTTTCTAAAAAACTTAATCTAACCATAAGGATTTTTTCCCAACTTATCTTAAGGGGAGGGGAGAGATAGCTGGCTTCTTAAAATTCTGTTTTATATAAATGTTTACTTTATGCGGAAGAATATTTGGTATTCCCACACATCTATGTATAGGAGTAGATGCATATACCAGTTCCCAGACTCTGAGGCTCCAGCTATGGACAGTTCCTGGCAATATTCTGCAATAAAAGTTCTGTTCTGTGTTCTTAATTTTCTGTATCGGTCAAGCTGTCGTAGGCTGTGCCCACTTGTGCTATTATGAAGGCGATACTGTAGTTAGAAGCGGTGATGTGTGAAAGCTGTACTGAACGAATGAAGAAGGACGGTAACAAACTTATCCTTCATAGGATGGAAACAGTCGCTGGGGTACAAAGCTGACGATATGTATGATGTGAGCTTGATTTGTGAAGAAGACCTGCTGACTACTATCTTCTGTGCCTGTGACATAGAGCATACAGGTTTGCCAGTGGCTTTTCAATGTTCTTCTTCCTCTTGATACGTTTTCAAGGCTCAGATCGCATTATGGTTTGAGGGGTGGCAACCTGTGATATCCTTAGACTGATTAGCTGCCTTAGCTGGGCAGCTGTCTCTGTCAGAGATCCTGAGCAAAGCTCTGTACCTCTCTTGCATGATGCCTGTCTCTTCTGCCTTACTCCCTTCCCCCTGAACCCTGCCCCAACCTGGTCTTTCTTCTATCCTAGTGAGGAGGAAGTGGAGAAGTATCACACCTCTTCCTATCAGACTTTTTAGAAATGATTGTTTATTTCTGTTAGGTATTTTCCTGTTAGAAAAATGAACTTTAGGAAACCTCAGAACAAGAGGTTACTCTTCTGAGTTGCCCATCAAATATGACTAAATCTGTGCATGGGTTTTTCTGTGAGGATTTCTTTTTTTATTCCTCTTTTTAAAAAAAAAAAAAGTCTAACTATCCAGAAGAAGACCCTGTCAGTAACAGGGTTTGACCTCATCTTACAATGAGGCCTGAAAGTAGTAGCATAGCAAATGAGGTGAGTTTTTAATCGACTTCAATTTAAAAAAAACAAAAACAAATAAAAGCTGTAAACTATTCTTTCCCAGATCATGCTAGAACTTAGTGATTATTTACTTGTCTACAGAGCGACTGAATGTGTCGTACTGCAGATCAGTAGCATGCTTTTCATGCTTTTTCATAGTTATGTTTTTTTTTTCTGTGTGCTGCTAGACTTCAAAATCTGGTGCTTAGATACCTATATCTATCCTAGGAAAAGTAGCAGTTTCCAAGATTGTTGATTATCTGAGACATACAACTAGTCGGGGATCAGAAGACAGTGGTCTCGAAGAGCTGTGCAACATGCTTGACCCAGATCAAAGAGACATCTCTGTGGACCTGGAAACATATCATGCCATCATGAAAGAGTGGATTGAAGACTGTAAAAGAAAACGGTAATAGCTTTTTACCAATTTATCTCATGAAAGCTTCCATCAAAGCAAGAGAGCAGAAACCATTCCTATGGCTTGCATTTCCAGTACCCTAGAACAAAGATGGCATCAAGATATTTTGACCATAGTGTGGTTTTTTTGACTGTAAGCTTTTAAATATAGAAAGTTGGTAGGTAAACCAATATCATACTAGTTTTATGAACCTTCATGCTTGCTTCTTTCAGGGAAGATGATGCCACTGAGGAACCAACAGCAAGCATGGAAGACTTGGAATTTAAAGTACATAAAAACATTTCTGAAGGTGCAGACCGTTCTGTTCTGGTTTTATTCAGGAAAACTCTACTTTCTTAAACTATAACCAGAAAATGTCTTTCAGCAAAAAGGATGCCTGTCCGAATGAATGTTACATCAGGAAGCTTGGAGGCCTTTGGGGGTGATGTGTCTAAAGGAGACATGTAAGTTCGTTTAAGTAGCGCTTTCTCAGAAGTCAGTACCTCTAGCTTTCATCACTCGAGCAATTCCCAGAACCATTATTTCAGGAAAACTATCTTGGCAGGGTTTCTAGTGCTGATCTCAATGTGCACCAACTCTTTATGCTATTAAGTTCTTCTTCACAGCTTCTACTTAGCAGCAAAAATATACTAGTAACTTACCTTACCGATACCTTGGTCATTCTGTGCTGATTTGCCTTGTCAATTCCCTGTGGTCAGAGTTTTGCTGTGGGTTTTTGTTCCTCTTTAAAAAATATTCCCCCCACACACCCCTCTTCCCCCAAGTTCTTAGGTCTCTGAAAATAGAAGACATTGTCTTCTGAATTTCTAGTCCCTAATTTTGTTTGGACACTTCTTATAAATATGATGATGATTTGGATTCTGTAATAGCAAAGTCCTTAATAAAAACACCAGAGTTTTCAAAGATAATGTTCACGTTTTATGTATAGTCAACAATCTTCAGATTTTCCTTCTGAAGCTTTCCTCTCCTTTCTAAGAATCCTAGAAAGGTGTAACCCTTATTGCAGTTTCAGTTGAAAGTATAGTTCAGGGGAAGAGAAGGGTTCCGGGACTTTTGGAGTTAATTTATTGTCTTAGTGATGGCCTAAGAGGAGATTAACGAAGGCTTAAGGTACTGTCCTGCAGCCGTTCAGCCTTGGCACTTGTCCAATGGCATAACAAGCCCTGTGTAAACTCTCTGCTTACCACTCTAGTCAGTGCAGCATGGCACCAAGACTTTTAAAAAGCCTAAATTAGAACCAATCAGCTTCTTCATCTTTTCTGGTTTTATTACTGAAACAGGGAGACTTCTGACTTGATAACCTGTGTCGCAGACCTGCAGTACAACAACCAGAAGCTTCAGGAAGAGAACAACAAGTTGAAGCTGACGCTGGAAGCTGTGGATGAGGCTAACAATAAGTTAATGGTGGATAACGAGGATCTACATCAACAAATAAAAAGGTGGGAGACCTTGGTGCACCTGGTCTATGCAATAGCCACGGACAGACCTATTTTCTGTGGAGCAGGCTAATCTTGCTTTGTTTCTAGTCTCACTAGTACTTTATGGCAGTAAGTTTCATCACTTAATGCTGGTCTGGCCACAGCATTAAGCCTTGCAGAGACTGCATTAAGTTCTGTGCCTCCTGGTTCTTATAAAATCAGTCATTCATCATACAGCCTCACGTAATCAGAGGCTGGTTCTTGCTGCCTGAGGTTGTGTGGGTGTGTATAAACAACTCTTAGGTAAAGCTGAATCCAACTAAAACCAAGGAGGGAGGCCTAATATTACAAGAGAACAGCCAAATGCTGGAAATGTTCCAGTCCTAGGTCAAACACCCACTGCCAGGCAGTGGGAAAATGAGCACATAAGAGCTATTTTGCTAGTCCCTTGAGGACCTGGAGTAAGTTGTCTCAGTGTATGGCTTAGTATGGCTGCAGCTTAGGGACCTATCAATGTCATGAGTACACAGCTATTTTAACAGCGAGTTCACAGTTCTCATCTGACCCAAATGATTCAAATGTTATGGAGCTATGACAACTCCCAAACCATTCCTAGTCTTTCGGGGGGAGATTAAGACAGGAGTCTCTTCCACCAGCTGGTGTGGGACGTGTGCGTCAGACCCTGAGCTCTGGGCTGCTCTGCTGTCTAGAGCTAGCAGTGAAAAAATTCTTGCCGTGCTGGGAAAACATGCATAGGCTGGAGCATCAAATCATGAAAATGATAAAATGATGCAGAGCTTATCCCTGAAAACTAAACTGAAGTGATTTCCATAACTGTTAACAATGAAGTACGGTAAAGAAGTGTCTGTGTACTTGGGTGGTCAGACATATTTGACTGTTACAAGCTTGGTTGTTAGGTAGATATAAACAAACAAACAAAAAAAAAGGCTTAATAGGTGCTATCTTTTCTAGGGACTTCATCCCTTATTTTATCACCCCCTTCCACTCTCAAAATAATAAGAGGGCAAGTCCATGAGCCCTTTTTCCATGCGGAAATGATGGACTCTAATGTAAGAGAAATAATCAAGTTTAGTATCTGTGCCAAAGAATGAGTCCCTGGGGGCTTCTGAAAATACTGTTCTTGTACTTCAAGCCTATCTGATGACCAACAGTAACTTGCTGAGGTTTCCCTGGATTTCTTTCCCTTCCCCCAGCATCCAGCACTCTGTGCTGAAAGCCAAATTGCTGGAAGAAGAACTGGAAGAAGCAAAAAACAACCTAAACCTCTCAGAAGAGAAGAGACAGCAGATTCTATGCCAGAATAAACAGCTAGTAGGTGATCTTACTTCTCAGCTTATTTTGTATAACTTCTTGTGCTTTGCTGTAACAGCGGTATGCCTAATCAGCCCATAAAAATTAGCAGTACCCGCTAGGTACTGAGGTTTTTTGAGGGAGTTTGAAATGTAATTAGTGTTAGAAAAATACTGTGAAGTTTTTCCACGGAAGTCTCTTTAAACTATTGTCAGGTATAGTGTAGGAAACAACTTTCACAGTAAATTGGCCCTTTTAATTATCTTGTATATAATTACACTTGAAGACAACAGCTTTCACACCGCTAACATGAAGCCTTATCTGATTTGAAGTTTGTGATGTCCTGCTAGGAATTTGAGTGTTGCACATGGCTTCTGTAGAACAGAGAGGTCAAGAGGCTCAGTTCAGCTGCCTAGAGAAAGGAATTTGTTTTGAAACATCCAAGGCTATTGGAGAGATCTGCATGGGCTGGCAGGTATGACAAGGACCTGTTGGAAACCATCCATCCTAGGCTGACAGCTGGAAGCCAGGCAGCATCCTTCAGAGTGTCTGAGAGGGTGCAAGCTGCCTACATGAGGGTATCTGAACTGCACCCAGATGCCTACGTAGCAACACCAGTGTGACTGTAATGTGTGTAAAGTAGTGTGGTAACAGCACTGATGATGTGGCTGCAGCTTTAGCAGGTGTTGCTAGCCACCAGAAGGCAAGCCGTCAGGAGAACAGATTTGCACTGTTGCCATGCGTGTTGCTCGTGCCACAGTTGTGTTTCCTTGTCGTAGGCTTATACTGGTGTTTCACGGCTCTGTGCGTTATTGATCGTGGATATTTAAAAAAACAAAGCAATAAAAAACAAAAAAAAAACCCC